TGAAGTCTCTAATCTACAGACTATGCTTGGCTGCCACTGTTTACCACTTGTGGGTGGAGAGGAATAATAGAAGATTTAAAAATCAGTTCAAGGACCCTATCTCTGTTACCCATCTTATCCTACAGACTATTTCGTGTAGATTGACTTCTCTCAAATACAAGACCTCTTATATCAATCTCCAAATAATCCAGACCTGGAGACTACCACTTAGCTGCCTCACCTAATACCATTGGCCTCCCCTGTTTTGTTTGAGTGTTTTTGTCGCAGCTCCTTGTTTGTTTGGTGGAGCTCCTTGTCTGTGTCCTATGTTTTTGTTTTCATGCTTGCATTCCTGCCCATTTACTGGATGGGGCTGCTATTACGCCTACATATGGATGCTGGTTTATGATTGTTGGTTTTGCAATTGGCTTGTTTATGTATAGAGGGCTATGATGCCCATGCTTCTTGATCATGGTTATTTTATTAGGGGCAGTGATGAGGGTTTTGATCAGTTTTTGTGCTTACTGGTCTTTGAGGCCTTGAATTTTTTCCTTACATTCAATGTGGTTCATACATCTAATGCTTACAATATGCTTTAGAAAAGTATATTTCACTTTGACTTTCCACTGGGACAGTAATGTGGATTATGTCTCTGCTTTGCTATGTTTCCTCTGGCTCTTGTGGTGGACCTTCAAGACAGAGCTGCTATAGCAGACGCAGAATTCTCATGGGAAGGCTTGAGACTATTTTTCCTGGACTATCTTCTCTACTCTTTTTGCTGACTTTTGGCCTTCGTTGGTTGCTCTTTCTCACCTCAACCTCATCCTTTTTGCGTTTCATGGTGTTGATCTATTGGCTTCTTTACCATGTTCATGTGCTGCTTTTATGGTGGATGAATGACTCTTCCTTTCTTGGTTCCTTGCATCCGGCTTCTGTTGGAGGGGATATTGGGGTGATTTATTTCCTATTTGGAGCCTCTTCAGCTTTCTGTTGCAGCTGGGGTTTTGACCCAACTGGTTCATTTCTTCTGAATTGCATACGGTCTTCCACAACAACTGCTTTTCTGATTTGTCCACTGTATACTTTTGTCAATAATTCTATAGGGGATACCTTCAATCAGAGCTTCTCCTACAGACTTGTGTTTTTGAGTTTGTTTTTTAACTTTGAGTCCTACGGGATTCTCTGTATATTTTGGGTATTTCCCTTGTATACTTGATTTTCTATTAATATATTTTACTTTCCGAAAAAAAAAGATTCTATTTCAATAGTGAGGGTATGTAGATGCTGGTTATACTAGGGATTTGAATGATAGAAGGCCTACTATAAGGTTATGTGTATACATTTGTAGGAGGATAAATATGTTGGATATCTATGTTATAATTGCCAGTTGCTCTATCTACAACTAAGGCAGCGACTGAGGTTGCCAACAAAAGGTTGTGGGTTAAAGAGTTTGCAAAAGATCTTAAGTTCAAGTAAGGCTGAGTTTGGATGCATTGTGATAGTCAAAGTGTAAAGCATCATGTGTATCATGAAAAGGAAAAACACACTAATGTGAGGTTTTACGAGGTGAGAGTCAATTGCTTTTGGGGAGGTGATACTGAAAAAAGATGTGTACTCTTAATGATGCAGTTGACGTGTTGATAAGGCCAATTCTTTCAAACAAGTTCAAACATTGTTTAATATTGATTAATATTTCTCAGTGTTGAGAAAGGTGGCATCCCCCACCTATGGGTTCGCGGTGGAGACAAGTTATGGTTATTTTTCTTGAGTGGTGAATTATTCATAAAGGTGGAGATCGCTAACTTTAATATGGATAATGTCCATTAGATTTTTGCTTTTGGATAAAGATGTGTTTCTTGCCAAAAGTCAATAGGCCATTTCAGCGGTACTACTATTTGGTTGTTGGGGCCGAATAATAGGTTGGGGATGTGGGGAATACCTTGCAATAAAGAATGCCTCACGATAGAGAATACCTTGTGATAGGGATGGGTACATTTAGGGCATGTTTGTTTGCAGTATTAGATTTGGGTGGTATTAAAAATCATTTCCATTCTACTCCTATCTAATGGTATACTATACCTGTCTTAAACTTGTATCTCATCCTTTTCCTTGTTTGTTTGTTCAGTAGATATTATAGTGAGTCCAATAAACAACCATCTATTTTATCACATCTTATATAACAAATATATCATTTTATCCTTAACATCTTTCATTTCATTTTACCCTTAACCATCTATACAAGAAAATAAATTTAAATTAATTTTTAAAAAAAATTGTTAACACCGTACGCTTAAACATAATATAAGAAAAAAATTTAAAATAATTTTTAAAAAAAAAAACCCGGTAACACTCTATGCTTAAACATAATACAAGAAAAAAATTCAAAATAATTTTTTTTAAAAAAATTGTAATACCGTACACTTAAACATAATACAAAGAAAATTTTCAAAATAATTAAAAAAAAAAAAAATTCTATGACACCGTACGCTTAAATATAATACAAGAAAAAAATTCAAAATAATTTTAAAAAAAAATCGGTGACACCGTACGTTTAAATATAATACAAAGAAAAATTCAAATTAAATTTTTATATGTGAACTCTTCACATAGGAGGGCATTTGTGTCATTTTACTCTCTTATACCGTCCTTTCACTTGTACCGGAAAGATAATACCACCTTGATAGGTGGTATTGCTTAGTACCATATAAAATGCATTAAAATCACTGTTCACATCGGGTCGGTACTACGACCCAAAAAATAATATCGAACAAAAAATGTCAAACAAACAAAGTATAAAGTGAGCCCCACGTACTATTTCTCTTGTACCACCCATATCCTTGAAGCAAACAGGCCCCTAGGGTTTCCAATGTACATCTAGTAGGGGAGTTTTACCAGGATTGGGTAATATAAGAAGTTTAATAGGAATGTAGCAGATTTAATGGGACTAAGTCTTCTAGTTAGACCATTAACTGGTGCCTATAAATATATTGTAACTCTTTGGATTCTGATATAGCAATAATAGTCATTCTTGTGGATATAAATAGAGTTTTATATCGAAACACGAAAATCTTGTATTCTTAATCTTGATTATTCACACGTTCACAACAACTTCATTGTGTCAAACATATTTGTGTGTTTCAGCCTCAATATTCAAAATGGTGAACTAATACCAGGCATTAGTAAGAAACTTGATCAACAATTAAAAAAAAAAAAAAGAAGAGAAATTTTTTTTTCTTTCAAAATTTCAAAGTAAAATCTATTCATCAAAATGTAACAATTTACAAGTGATCACGTACTTACAGAGCATTACATAATTTGTATGACAAAAAACTTGGATTAGCCAAGTGATACAAAAGGAGGAATTGCTCTAATCCGGCATAATTTCAGGGGAAGTAGAAGCCTTGAGCTAACACATCCCAAAAATTATACCAGTTTAGGCCACCATTGGATAAAGAAACTACTAGGCAACTGCTAAGTTTGGGACACCTCTCATTCTGTTGACTGTGCTTGAACTTTTTAGAGGTCAGGCTGTCTCTTAAAGTTTGCACAATGGTGTTTGTGAGGATCTAGTGGTCCCTTGTCTTGTTTTTGTAGAGTTTGTAGTTCCTTTCTCTCCAGATAGAGCAAACTGCCACTGAGTGGCAAATTTTTTTCAGGGATGTGCTTAGTGATTTTCCCTTCCAAGTTTGACTTGCATCATTAATTGTAATAGCCCATGTACATTGTATCTCTTGAATTTGACATAGGTCCGTGAGCTTAGACCATACCTTTCTAGTGAACTAACACTCAAAGAAAAGATGGGAATGGTTTTCTGGTGCCTGTTTACATAGAAGGCATCCGAGCTCCACATTAGCCATAAATGTCTGTAATCTCTCCTTCGTGTTCAGCCTTCCTCTGATTGCTAACCAAGTGATGAATGACATTCTTGGAATGGCTTGCTTGAAACATATGGGACATTCTAGCTTGGGGTTCTCATTATATTCCAAGAAGAGGATGTTGAAAGTATTCTAGAGAGGTGTAGCAGTCCACATGATCCTATCTTCATTCTGCTCATAGGGATGGTAGTTAGGCATATTAGCTAAGATTTCTCTAAGCTTAGCATTCCTATTAGTTGGCCAATTCCACCTTATCCCTCAACAGCAGCCTTGATTCTTCTACTGTGCTGATGCCAAACTTCAAAAACAAAGGCCCTAAGGGGTGCCAGTAGCCATGCCATACACTGGTCTTCTTGCCATTACCAATGATGCTCACAACATACGGTCTTATGTTGCCTCTCATTTTAAGGAGATTTGACCAATTCCAAGAACATTGCTTGGTGGTTTGACCTCCCAGAAACTTCTACTCTTCAGGTGGTAGGAATGTATCCATTTAGCCCATAAGATCTCCTTGTCTGGGAAAATAATTTCAATATGCCTGGTCATAAGGGCTGCATTGGCAGTATTAAGCCTTCTGAGTTCCGAACCCCCCTTATTTTTTGGTTTACACACTTCCTCCCATGCCACTTTAGCCACAATAGGCCTTAAGTCAGTGCCTTTCCATTGGAATGTTCTCCTTATTCCTTCAATTGTGTCAAGAACCTGTTGGGGGATGAAGACATGTGATGCCCAATAGTTTAGAATAATGGTAATGATTGCTTTTATCAGTTGAAACCTCCCTGCATTATGAGAGAACTCTGTTGATCCAACTTCTTATTTTGGCCAACTCTGTCCCCCAATGGGGAGCAATGTTGCTTTCTCAACCTCGAAGTGACCAGCGAGATCCCTAGATACCTGATAGGTAAGGTGCCCTGGATGAATCCAAAACACCTCTGCAAATTGCACTTCATCTTCTTGAGGAATAGTTGCCAAAAAAAATCACTTTTTAGGGGGTTAGCAACTTAGCATGTATGCTAGATAGGTAAAAGAGCAACTTATCAATAGAACTGATGTAGGTCAAAAATGAATAGAGACTCGGCGTTCGGAATACGAAACCTGTATTGCTATTAATAGATATAAGACTGCATAAAACTCATAAAAACAAGGATGGGTAGTGGGGGAATTACCCAAGGTAGAGACTCACTCACCTTCAAGAGAAGAATTACTCGACTCTCAAATGGAGGCTCTATGCACTCTCAAAAGTTTCATTTTTCAGCAACGCAAAACTCCTCTCCTATTCCAATACAAGTATAAATACCACTGGAATTATAGATAGATCTAACGAATTACTACATATGAAATAAGTGCTTTCTTGAAACCATACTTTGACTACGGGAACTTGTTCTCCTTGAAACCCCACAATTATAATAAAAGTTTGTCCATCACCCTTCTTGACTGCATCAGAAACCCAACCATAAGGAGTGCGTTGTAGCCATGAGGCTAAAGAATTTGTGGTTTGAGAGATTGTCCATCATCACAAAGAAAAAGAAAAGAGGAGGGGGGGGGGGGGGTGATATCGGGGCACACAGTCAATTACGAGAACAATGAAATTTGTATAGAGAACCTAGCCAAACCTACTGAATGATATCATGTCGAAGAATCTAAGTGATAACAATTGACAATGAGTGGGCAGGTCTACAAGAGTCATATACCAGTTTCAAAGATATTATCGATGTGGGATAAGCTCTAATATATAAATACTAGTTATATTATGTGCCTGAAGATATGGAGAAAATATAAAATTTGAGTGATTAAAAAATCGATCTCACTATATTAAATAACAATTTTTCTTTTTATTTATCGGATTACATCATTTAAAATTTATTTTTATCCATTATTTTCTTAAAATATTGACAAAATTTTCTCAAAATACATAATTCAACAAATTTTTTCAATATGCGTATATTATAGTATGTAAATAATATTTGAAATAAAAATTATATTAAACTAAAAATTAATTAAATATTAAATAATTGAATATGTGATAAGATGAGTGATGTGATAGAATTAGGACAAAGAATTTATAGAAGATAAAATTCAACTTCATGTGATTTATTATACAAATATTGAATAGCTATCCTATGGTTATATATCAATTGTAAGCCTTCACATGTTCAAAGTAAATTCTACTCTAATCTTTTGTAATATAGAACTGTTTAGTTCTTGTGAAATTGCAAATTGTTAGTGATGATAGTGAGTTTTGTCTTCATTGTGATGCCATGTCTAATCTAATGTAAATGCACAAGAAAGTTCCCAGATGCTATAATTCAACTGCACATACTTTTCGTTCTGGTTTCTGATATTGTTTTTCCTGTTTATCCTAACCTAACCATGCACAACAGGAAATTGACTTGCACAACAACAATCAGTACCTCCGAGCAAAGGTCTCTCTCTCTCTCTCTCACACACACACACACATACACACACGCATGCGGACTCAGTCATTTAGTGATTGTTTGGTGTTTTTTGAGTAATTCAGATAGCTGAGAATGAGAGAGCCCAGCAGCAGATGAACTTGATGCCAGGGAGTTCTGACTATGAGCTCCTTCCACCTCAGCCATTTGAGGCTCGAAACTACCTCCAAGTTAATGGGCTTCAATCCGATGATCATTATTCCCGCCAAGACCAAACAGCCCTTCAGCTGGTGTAAGCATCTCCTGTAATCACTTACTTCCAGCAGGCAGCATATATATTTAGCATGTTATGTTTATTTAACACACTTCATTCGTTCATAATTCGTCTGCATGCTTGATTGCTCACCATCTGTGAAAGCATCAGCTGTTCCATGGGAACTTTCTAAATCTTGAGTTTGCAGCCTACCATTCACTGAAAAGTGACGTTTGGTAACGTTTTGTTTTGTTTTCAGGTTGTTTTAAGTTTTTTAAAACACAAAATATGTTTGGTAACACTTCTGTTTTTGATAAAATAGGAAACAAAAAACATGTTTGGTTGACAACTCATTAGTTCACATGAAGGCCAGTGGAGCCATAGTTGCCTGCAAAACCTAGCTATTAAAAAACTAATTCTTCACTCTTTTGTCTCACAAGAGGCATGATTTGAAGCAAAAAGGTAGCCCAACACAAGCATTCACCACTATGAGTCTTGAAGAGTTACATGTACACAATCTTGTTCCCTTGTATAGCGCAACTATTTTCTTGATGTGAACTCATAACACCTAAGTCATAAGGACGAGCGTAGTTGTAACCCCAAAACTCAGCATGAATTTTAATATAACGAAAACGAATTAAAGAAAGAGGTGCACATGGGTATCAAGAAGAACACTGCATCAATGTTGTATTGACCTAGATTGTTAAACTCTAGAGTAAAACAAGATGATTTGAGACTACAAAATTTGAGGTTAGTGAGTGGCCTAGTAGTAAAGGTCACTCCCACCACCATGTGGTCATGGGTTCGACGCTCCCCCCAACACACACACCAAAAACAGCGAAAGAGAGTAAAAAAAATTTCTAACATTTTTGTTCTGCTGCATGCCCAGCTGACTTGTGTTCAGAGCCAGCAAATTCTCCTGTTCTTAGTTGCTGTGGAGAAGATATCCAGTCAATTACCAGGAGAAAGTATAGCTCTTTAATGAAATTTGAGAAGTGGAGGCTTGGTACTGTATCACAACGTTGTTGCCTCATGGATTGGCATAAGACTCCAAAAATTGTTACTAGAGAATTTCTATGTTTTTTGTTTCTTGCATGAACTGTTAGTGTGATATAATAACGTTATATACAAACTTGTTTTAATGTTAATTGTCTGCTTATTTACTCTCTTCTTCCCTACTTGCATTGGTGTTACAAGTTTTTTTATTTGTCAGATCTTTTATGTTATACGTTATACCTCTGGAACGAAAAGCTTCGGGGGAAAACATTGCAGTTATGAAGAATGTGGCAATGTCAAGTAAGAGAAAATTATATTTGGTAGCTAGCATAAGTGCGAGGTCGGACCATGGGGTAAAGTTGATCTATTATAACTTAAGATTTGAGTCATAAAAATGGTATCTCTGCAAGTGATAATGAGATATCGTATATCATTTATTTAACTCTAATGAGAAAGCATTCTTGTGTATTGAACTGTCGTTTTTGGTTGACGTTAGTATGGTAAGACATAGCTTGACTTTTCTCCGGACTAAAGACTCTAAGCTTCTGTTCTGCACACCAGCATCCATCATGTTATCTGTTGAAGAGATGGAAAATACCTTCCAAAACTTACATAAAATAACAATCATGACACAAGTGTTTCAAATCATTTGAAAATTAAATTGACTCGGGATGCATTGATGGTTTATTTTGCATTTGGAAAAGAACGGGAGAAGATTAGGGTTCAATTCTGTTTTCATATGAATGTGGGTTCCAATCTCATCCCTCAAGAAAAGTTCAAAAAGAAAAGAAAAGAGAAAGATAAGATCTCTCCAAGTGTATTAAAAGGGCAATTTAGTGCATGAAATTTCTTGGGGATTTTGAAGAGTCAAATAATCACTACAAGAAATTTGTCATTTAGACGCAAAAATTATTGCGGTTAAATGTATAAAAATTGTCACTATATATTTTCACGACAACTTTTTTATCACCACTAGGTCGCGGCAACAACTTTTTTATCACCACTAGGTCGCGGCTATATGTCCGTGGCTAAATCATTTAGCTACAACATTTAATTTGTTGCCACTAAAAATAAAGTTTTTAGCTGCAACATGGAAATATTTAACTGCAATAATTATTACCATAATTTTGCCACTAAAATGTACCTTGTCACCACTAAAAGTTCGATTAAAATTTGACTTTTAGTGGCAACAATTAATCGCAACTAAAAAGTATACATTTTACTCACAACTAAAATCACCACTAAAATTTATAACATGTTTTTAGTGATAACTTATTGTCACGGTTAATATATTGAAATTAACAAAAAAAACCTATCACATATTTGAAAGAATTTATTGTTGAATATTTCCCAATTTCACATAACTGTAATAATTTAATGAATATATATATACTTAATGAGGAAACAAACAACATAATAAACACTCACTTTCAAAATATAATTTTCAATTAAATCACATAAAAATAATATTCTGATATTAGTATCATTAAATTGTACATGTACAACGCATTATCATCAAAGAATATAAATGAACAAAAAAGGTTATGATCACAATTTCAAAATTGTCATTGCAACTACACAATGATACCCACTCAAAAGAAAATAATTACATAACAATCATCATAAAGTCTCAAGTCACATCTACATATTCTTTTTTTGAAAGGTTATTGAATTTTTGGTCTTTAGTCTTTGGAGGCGAACCTTCCAAAGCTATTTTCAGAGCTTTCACTGATTTGTACCTAACATAAATTACTCAACATTAATAGGAAGCACAAAAAGTATAACATATTAATAATCAACCATAGATCAAATAGGAATTTTTCTACCATATGAACAATCAACCACAGATGACATAATAATTTTTGTAACAATCCATTATATCTAAAACAATTCAATCCTAAAAAGAACATTCGTAAATTTTTATGGGATAAAGAGATGTAGTGCTGGACTAGAGGCTGCTTAAAAGAAAGTTACCTGAACTTTTTAAAGATATTTTTTCTTTTGTTCTCAGCTGAACTTATAAGATGTAAAAGGAAGAAACTTCTACTCTCACTATGAAGGATATTGTCTTACTAATTCTCATAATGTCCTTCCCCACTATCAGTACATTTCAATACTCTCCGAGTCGACGACCAATATCACGACCTTGAATTAGGGGTTGAACATGTAGCGTATGTGTAACTACTCAAAGATACATCAAAGAGAAGAAACTAACAACATAGCATAGAATCTTACCCCATTGAAGAATAGGAAATTCCCACCTCTGTTTGGGAACTGTAATAACATATGATGCAACCTACAAACGATTGAGAACTCTTTTAAAAGGAAGAAAAACAAGGGAAAAATGCAAAAGATTACTATAGAAAATGTAGAAAATTTCAGAAAACTGGCCAATATGCATGCAACTAGAGAACAGGGAGAACTATGAAGAAAAGACATCTCCTCCTTTTCATAGAGAATATCCATGCATCCTTCAAAGCTCAAGTGTTCCCCAACCCTTGCAACTCCCCTGAATTCACACCAAGTATAGAAGAAATGAAACAAGTGACCCTATAAGGATTACATATTAATTGAAGAGACAGCTAACAAAATGATTGTTCTAATGAAGAAAGAACCCACCCAGCCTGCTGCACAAAAATACCAAAATCCATCAACGGTGGTTCCATGCAGTTCCTGTTCTTCTACAAGAAAAGTGGGCAATGAACCGTAAGATCTTTTTTCAACTGACTTCGTCAAATAAGCATAATCTTTTGAAATCAACACCAATTTATCTAGTGTTCATGAGGACTTGCTCAAATTAGAATGGGTTGCATGATAAAGGCACCAGCTCAAGCTTATGTTATGCCCAACAAAGCTCCAATTTATTGACATGAAAAATCTGTTTAATTGGTACAGTATGCACATTATAAATCTTAGAAAGGAAATGAGCAAAGGATCTTAGTCGTTTCAACTTGACTCGCGTATTATCCCACTCATAGAGTCTATAAACAGTGTGAATAATGTATGAACTGAAATGTGAAAGATTCTAGGGATACCTGGCACATCTTTGATAGAATTCAAAATCCTTCTTCAAAACAAAGCTGAAAGGTACAAATTGAACACAACAACCGCACATGAATTCATAAGGCACAGAGCTTGCTCATCATTGGGCTTCTCAAATTCATTAACTTCAGAAAATCTATTAAAAGCAATGAAAATAAATAATTGACTTAAAGTTGCAACATGAGCAGACTAACAAAGGACAACACTCTATGCATCATAATTGAGACTGGCATGGTTGGGGGATATAACCAGTAATTTGTAATTTATATTCTGGAGTTGAAACTCAAAAGTGATAGTACACTCTATCTTAATAATCTCATTTGCTTCACACCCTTCACCTCAAATAAAGATACAATAACACTTCAACTAAATTACTTTACTTTATTCTGCACAAAATACTTTGATATCTTATCCTTTATATTGAAACAACCTTATCATTTGTCGTGGACTCAACTGAATTTTGATGCGTGAAAATTAATGATGGTTGGCTATTAATTTTTCAAATCAAGTTTATCGGGAAAATTTTATTTGTCATTTAGTCACATTTTTTTCGGTAAGTAAGAATTTCATTAAACCGAAAAGGGATTCGTATACAAAGTATGTCTCATGTACAGTTGACACCAGTCAAGAAAAGAAAAGGGACAATAGGGATGTCAACTCTTCTTAACAGAACAGAAGCAGAGATGTCATCCCAAGAACAAAAGTATACATGACGAGAAACAAAAAGAAATAAGATGAAGCAAAGAGAACATATCAGGTTACTCCAACAAAGCCCAAAACATCAGTTCACAACATCAGCAGTTGTTCCAACTAGACACGCCCATAGTAGATTGCAGCAGAACCAAGAGAGCATCAGAATAGCAGAGCATGTCACTATAGCATCACAAAGCCCCAAGGATTTTCCCCCAACTAGGACACAACATTTCATAGCAATTAAAACCAAGAGAAATGAAGGGAAGAGAAAGGAACAAAACCCAAAGGTAACAAAAGCACAGAAGCAGAACCAATGTAGAAAAAGCAAGCATCCAAAGTTTGATGCAATATTCACAAAACAACTCAATCGGGGGGGGGGTCAAATATAGTCTTCGGAAGATCCCATTATTCTCTTTGAAGACATAAATTTGAGGGAGATCTCTAATATCCTTTACTTAGATGAAGTCTGAACTTGATATTATCGATAATAGCTTTATACATAGTGCCAACATCTTTGAAGGAGTTTCTAAATAACCGACAGTTCCTTTCTTTCCATACAATATAGACAGAAGATGGGAGTATCAATTTACCTATAAGCTTTTGTAGGCTCTTACCATTTAAGTTTGTAGCACACCACTAAATAGTTTCAGGCCAACTAAAGTGAGGCCATTGAAGATTTTCATTTCATTTGTATAGATGTCCAGATTTTGAAAGTAAAAGAACACCGAAAGAAGAGGTGCTCATAGGTTTCAATGGCACTCCTATAGAAAACATATCGTGTTGATTGCAAAAAGCCATAATTGAAGAGCTTATCCTTGTTAGTCAATCTTTGATGTAGTGCTAACTAGATAATAAAAGTGTAATGCGGTATAACACCCGAGTACTAGATCACCTTGGACCATTCTTGAAATTGTCATTTATCTCTAAGGGCTTGCCATGCAGATTTAAGCACCATTAGGAATTATTGACCAGAACCAATCACCATGGATAAATTATGCTACTGACTTTAGCATTCCTTCCCAGCCCAGAATGATCAATAGTTGTCTCCCCAATGAATTGATGGAGAGGACCCAAAGGGTGCCAGGGGTCATACTAGAGGTAGATAGATCTCCCGTTTCCTATGTTGAACTTGATAAGTGAGAGTCATTGAGTCACATTTAGACCAAAGAAAGAGAAGACAAAAAGAAAACTATTGATGTCTACTTTCACAATTAACCACAAGGGTGCCACAAGCACCAGGTTTCAATTCACCAAAGCATCTCATGGGTACCTTTAACATATACTATTTTGTATCAAACTAGCAGATAGTTCAATATTATTTAGGGAAAATTAACAATAATTATTATTTTTCCTCACAAAAATCCATTAAGTCCTATTATTTTTGTTTTATATCAATGGAGTCATATTCTTGATATTTTATTTCCATTAAGTCTTAAATTCCATTATATCTTAATTTTATCTTTACCCTTTAATTACAAAAAACCTTTCATTTTTTGAATTATTAGAACCAATTAAGAGGACACAAATTTCTTGCTTACAAAATTAATTTTAAAACCCCATAAAAAATTAAAAATTAAAAACTCAACAAACATAAACTTCATGGCATGATCCAAAAAAATTTCACATTTTCTTATTTTCTTATCTCATTGGGTACCCAATCTTAAAACCTGAGGTAATATTTGTGGAGTATTTAATAATATAAGAAAGGTTAAAAAAAACTATATTGATAATGTTTGTTGATTAATTCCACTTTAATGTCGTTATCGATTCAAACACAACAACTAAAATAAATTCCTAACTTAATCATTTTAAATCCAATATAAATTAATAGAATAATTTAAAACCAATGAGATAATGTACCAATAGAATCTGCAATATAATAACATTAACTTAATCGAAGTAAAAATTAACTTGTTATATAAGAAAAAAACACATCACACAGCAATTGAAAAGTCTCAAGGGTGAGACGCCAAAGTTGGCATACTAGAAAGAATGCAAAGTCACATAGCAATTGAAATGCCCCAAAAGTGTGCCGCCAATTTGACATAAGAATGCAAAAGAATAAAAGTGATTTGGTAACTAATGAACAAGGACAAAATTGAAATATAATTGAATTAGAACTTAATTGAAATAAAATATTAAAAATAGGACTTCATTGATATAAAACAAAAATGATAGGACTTAATAGATGTTTGTAGGAAAAAGTAATCCTATTGGTAATTTTTCCTATTATTTCTTACTACTATAACACAAGCTTTGTACAACGCATTTTTTCATACATATAATACAAAATTATGAAATAATTCCATGCATGTGTTATTGACAAACCTAAAATCATTAAAGGATTGTCACATGTCAAGATTTGAAGAAAAGTTGGGAAGTGACCATCCACAACTCTGGTTTGAAAGAGGAAATAACTACTTAGAAGTTACAAAGCCAACTAAGCGTCAATAAGGGAGAAACCATCGAAAGAAGTGGCTATAAAAAGAGCAAAAGAAGGAGTTAGAAAAACAATTCAAACGCCTCACAAGACCCACAATCAGAGCATTTAAGAGTAGTGTTAAAGTTAGATTTTAGGAATTAGTTAATGTTGTGATCAAAGGCTATTAAATCAGGCACTTTATAATTGAAACCCACTCAATTGAATTAACAAAGACATATTTCTATGTTAGTTCAAAATCTCGTGTGTTTGGCTACACAATTTTATATAAGGAAGTCCTGAAACAAGGCAGTAGAACCCATCCATAACAATCACCTAAGAGTTATCTGTCGATTGAGACATTTTTATCGACCGCAATAGATTTTAGATCAATAATCTTTTGGCACATCCGGTGGGACATGTGTACGAACTTGGATCAAGAAGGATGGTGCGAACAAGGAAGCAAGACAAGATTCTATTTAGACCAACGAAACTATGAAAATGATGTCAATCGATAGCAATTATGAAGCAAATTCGAGTGCCTTTCTTGTGGAATTTGTGAACCCAATGAATTGCCAGTCTAATGGCCAAGATAGTGTGCAAATACAAAAATTTGTGCAGAATCTAAAACAAGTATTGTATAATTCCAATTCTAGCATTAGATAATAATTATTTAATGTCATGCATGAGTTGATGATGACTGTCCCAACTAGTGTTAGGACCGATCAATCAAATGACAAACACTACCACTAGAAATTCATTGGCGAATGAGGGAAATACTAGTCTTGTGGTTTTCCCTATAGAAACTTAGATACCACCGCCAATGGTTGCGAATGAAAGACCAACTATCCCACATCAAAATCAATTTAACATGTTGTTTGATGGAGAGCATGTAGAGGTCTTTCCAAACTTCTTCCTAGAGAGAAATCCTAGGGAAAGGAATGGACCAAGAATGGCCCTCGAAATTCCTAGGAAGGGTTGTGAGAGGTTTGCTATGCCTCCACTAGAAACCATCGATGAATATTCAAGACTAGGGGGCAAACTTTTGATCAGGGTGAACACTTGAATGGTCGCCAGAATTTGGTTTTCAATGGAAAATAGTTGGTATAAATAATGCAAGATTTGCTTGGTCATAGCCTAAGAAAAATTAAGAGGCATGTGTTCAGAAAGCTCCCTCCATGGGTAGACTACGAAAAGTTCCCACAGGATATAAAATCCCAGAATTTCATCTCTTCTCTAGTGAAGAGAGCTAATCCACAATAAAACATGGAGGAAAGCTCACTTTCTAATGTGGAGAGGTTGGACACAATGGGAATTTAAAAATAAAATTGTTCCCACAGTGCCTTAAAAAAATTGTTTTCACTTGGTTCATCAATTTGTTGGCTAATACAATGCAGACATGGCAGGAAATTGAAGAAGTTAGAAAAAAAACTCAAACTCCCCATAAGACCCACGATTAGGACATTTAAGACTAGTGCTAGAGTTAGTTTTTAGGAAGTAGTTAGTGTTGTAATTAAAGATTGTTAAATCAGTCACTTTGTAACTGAAACCCACTCGATTGAATTAATAAAGACATACTTCTTTGCTAGTTCATTATTTCATATGTTTGGTTATCAAATTTCATCCAAGGAAGTCCTAAAACAAGGCAGTAGAACCCATCCACAAGCAATTGCCTGAGAGTTGTCTATCGATTGAAGCATTTCTGTCTATTGCAACAGATTTTAGAGCAACACCATTACAACAAATTTTATTGGAATATCAGGTCACAATACAACATGAACAACATGAGTTCAATCCTTTTGCTTTATTTGTGTAACGGGAAAAAAATTTATATGCAATAATGGAAATAAAAAAACTTGGAGACGACGATAATATTCTATGCAACAAGGTGATTGTGGCAATTATAATTCAGCCAAACGGCAAATATCGATGGGATATGTGTCAGTTGGTAGCAGAGCATTGTATGCTCTTCTAGCCAAGATCAGATTTATTATCTCAGTAGGATGAAAAGCATCCCAAAATGCATATTCAGTTCTATTGCTGCATGGTACTTGTCCTGGAACACATAATCCTGTTGTTGTCGATACTTCACAACACGGAGTGTTTGGGACTGTAACACCTGAAATGTATACACGAAATTAGAGAAACAACATGAAATTAGAGAAATGAATGGGCTACGCTGAAAAAACTTAGTGCTCGACTCGAATCAATTCATTGGCACCCTATGAACATGAATACAATTCAAAAAAAAAACAAATTTGGAGAGAAAGTTATGAAAATGTACCAAGAACTGAAACATCCCCGGAAGTAATGCTTGTGGTGTTTACATAGATAAATTTTGCACCATGTAGATCCTTGTTGAGGCCATCAACCAGTGGCTTAAGTCTATTGTTGAATAGTTGGACTTCGTTGTTTATCGTATCCACGCATCCAGAAGCATTTATGGCATGTGATGCCAACTCACCTGGAGTGCAACCTATTTGAGGAAGTCCAAAAATTGCTATTTTTCTTGCTCCGTGCTTGTACAAAGTCTAGCATCAAGAGAATAGCCGTTAATAGGGGGCAATTTTAAGACAAGATATGTTTACAAAAGATGAATCTAACACGAAATTAGAAGAGTAAGATTAATTTTTTTAAAAATAATGGAAAATTGACACCTTGACATTCGGGCTGGGAATGTGAATATTGACTAGTTTTGTATACAATTCCCAAAATGAAACATATATACTACTAACTTGGATGATAATAGGTTTGGATTATTGTCGAACACAGATAAGTCGATTTTAATGTGATAAATTCATATAACTAGAAATTGTATGAAGAAAAATGTCTAAGTTTTTGTTTTATTTTGGCTTTCTTGATCAGCTATTGTCCTAATCCTACTAGAATTAATTTGCTAGCATAAAGGTCAAGTGAATTTATGGTCTATGGGGATCTATGAATATACACTGGGTTTGGTTGAGATAGAAAGATGTATTATTACTGGATTTCCTCGTTGTAGGATATACATGTCAATTTGAATGCAACAGAGATTACAGATCGGCCATTGAACCCTATCTAATAAATGGAAGGCATCAATTGTCCGGTCTAAAAGGGCCGTGATTAGTGAAGGACTTAAAAGCGCCTAAGAAGGAGTAGTCGATGATCTTTGAACTTACTTGATTTGGCCCTAGTTAATAGAGGCATTGAGTAAGACAATCTAAACAAGCCTGATGAACGTTAACTAGTATTCAACACGAATCCAAAACGATACGACTCGTTCGAGATCTGTGGACCCCTAACTATTAAGGTCTCCTCTAACTTCACACTCTTTAGAATTGATAGGTGTTGTAGCATATTATCTAAAGATATTTTACTGACCCTTAGTTTACACGAATATTGTTGAATGAGGACTGCAGCATATTGATCTGGAGTATATTTGCGGCTTGTGGAGTAGAATTGAGGCTGTAAGTAGTTGTTGATGTAGTCATTACTGCCTATTACCACACCATATATGCATTTGTTCAGGTAATCTTTAGCAGCAGCTTTGTTTCCAAGTAACAATTCGATGCGTGAAACAGTGACGTTGTGGTTTCGTAATTGTTTCGTCAAGCTGATCCGACCACCCTGTGAGAAACAAGAAGAGTTATGTGTCTATATTTTTTTTTGACCCACAAATATCCCGTGATTACGAGTAAATATTCAATGTAATTGTTTATGTCAGTTGTGGTATAACTGTCTAATAAGAAAACTAAAAAAATGGATAAGGTGGACCCTGTTGCCTTACATAAAAGTAGTTATATATTACATGAAGAGCGATACTATTTGGACTTAATTTATTGACCTAATTTATTATCCTAATTCACTATATTCTTTGGATTGACTATGAACCCCAATCAAACATTAGAACTTTGTATTGATTCAATAATTTCAATAAAGCCATATTATTAAGTCACATTTTTAGGTCTAAATATATTACTATTACATGAATGAGTAATTATTTAATTTTGTGGGACTCATTTGCTTATTTGTTAGTGGACAACGTGACATTACGGATGTGGTATAACCATTAAATTGAGTATTTTCTCGTAAACTACATAAACTATCCACTTTCTCACATTATACTTTCAAATATAAATTTACGTTTCACATGCCCCTAGCAATTGTCTTTTGTTACAACTTTTCATGGCAAATCAAGGCAACAAGAATTCGACTTAGCTGAGAAGATAAACATCACATCTCCTCTCATTATGGGCTTGCACTTTGTCCAAATTTACAATGAACAAAAGTCATAGATTAGGGCAATATGATACTCAAACTAATAATTAAAGGTGCAATATGAGAGAGTTGATAGTTCAAGGGATAATGTGACATGGGCAACAAAATTTATGGGTTTAAAGTGTAATTGTCCTTTTTCTGTAGTTAACACAATGATTAACAACATTTACAGATTAAAAAAAAAAAAAACACTGTGCATGATTATCAATAGTATAAGTCAAAATTTCTCCTAAGCCTTTGACTCAAAATCTATTTTTATGAGTAAAGGTGGCTATATGTTAGTTTTCAGCTACCAAACCAAGACAACTGTCTTTCCTCTGGGGATTAGGTTTGTTAATTTTCCACATTAACATGAACCCGACATGGGGACGAATCCAAAATAACACGAAGAAGTAACACGAAGAGGTTGAGTTAGTTTTAGCCCTGAATAACCCGTTTACTTGAATTATGAGAAAAAATGTATGATATTTTATCTTTATATTTCCTTATATGTTAATAGATAAACTGTTCTAACATTAAGTGATCTTTTGAATAGATGGGATGATGAAAAGAGTATATGATATGAAATCGAAACGACGCGATCCAAACAAAGACAGGACACAAGTGGATTGATACCCCTACTTGGGATACAGTGTCAGCAACACCATCTTCCTCCACACCTCCCTAGCTCACATACATATATACACAGAGGGATAAAACATAATTGCACACAAATCATTACCAGTGTTTTTCCGGTTTCGCTGCGAATTCCGGCTCCACCAGATCCGTAGTTGACACCTTTAAGGATGTCTGAGCCATTTGTTGTTGCAAAGGGTGGAATGAAATCGTCAAAGCCTAAAAGTTCACCTGCAAGGTTCATTATTCCGTCAGTACGATAATATTGTTAACAAGTGCTAAGAATAAACTTTAACAACTTTTAAGAATTTGTAAACTGTTAAGAATAAACCATAAGGGACTTGTATATTAATTTGTATGTGTAAATATAAATAGCTTTGGAAATCCATCGTGAAGTATTGAAGGAATATGCTAATGTTTGCATAAATAGCAAACTTGGATTTGAAACCGATAGTTTCTAAATCAGGTGGAGAGAAGTTGAAAAGAGACCAATAATATCAGCTGCGTTTTGACCATTGGTGAATCTGCCAGTCGGCCCAGCCAGAAAATCGATTCCATAGGGTAAGAAATTGACTTTTGCCACCGTCACAAGGTCATTGTTATTGCCATTATCAACTAGTGAGTCTCCGAAAACAAAGTAACAAGGGACTTGTGGTTTGCCATGAATGAATGATCGACAATTCAGCAGTAGGGATAACATTATGGACATCAGATACCATATCTTAACCCCACAGGCCATAGATGAGAAAAGAAAATAAGAAGTTGTAGTATGAGAAGATGAACAGTCCACTACAAGAGACCCCGGATAATGCGGATTTGGGAGAGAGATATACGCAGTCTTATTTAAACGTAGCGAGACGTTAGTTATAGTATGAGAAGATGATGTAGGATATATGGTTGTGTGTGGGTCTCAAGGAACTAGAAGCCAAAAAGGAATTGCTATGAAGATGTAATACCAGAAAAGAAGAAGTATGGCCTAAAAGCACCTGGGTATGAAGCCTAATAGTAACCATTATGAAAAGTAAGGCTTGCTTTATAGAGGGTAAATTATATTTTAACCCCCTAAACAATGGATTCAACTTCAATTTGCCTCTTGAATTAGTGAATTTTTCACATTGTCCCTTCAATTACTCAAATTATTTCACATTGCCCCAGTTGCAAATGTTCGCTATCTTTTTTGATGGAAATTGCCAAAATGTTGGGGCTAAGTGAAATAAATTACATTGTTCGAGGATAAAATGTAATAACTTTACATTAAATATATAATAGACATTACTAATTAAAGCGATGCGAAACTAATCACAGAGTTGATGATACAATGTGAAAAACAAGATAGCTTAGTAGACAACGTGAAAAAATGTCATAATTTAGGGGGTCAAAGTACAATTGCCCAATTATAAATCGATGGAATGACCACTTTATTTGGTTTTTTACCCGATAAAAAAGGCATATAGTGTATAGTTTAAGACATACTTAAAGATTTTCCGAGTTATACAATGGTTTGATTGTGTTATTTATTTCGCAATTGGACTAATGTCATCGAAGCTGAAAAACAAGGTAAACCAATAGACAGATTGCTCAAGCATGGCAACTACTCAACTCTTGTTTTTGTATATGATATAGATCATTGTCTGTTATTATAGGATAGGAGGAAATCTGTGGGAGTACTTTTGTTACCAGCACCTGCCCCAGATTTAACTTTTGGAGATTTATACAATTGGTTTAATTACTCAAAAAAAAAAAAAAACTTGTGTTTGTTGGGGTCAATGTTGTAAGGCTACATAATTAAAAGGGTTACCACATATTTTTTCTAAACAATTATACAAGTCTGTAAGAACCATTCCATCAAGGAGGCTGTTTGTGTTGTTTTTTAAAATGTTCTTTCATTCTCACAACTGTTTGGACGACGAATCTACAGCTACTACAAATTTATTTTATAAGATTTTATAAAGAAAGTCAACTACATTATTACAAATTTATTACACACGCAATACAAAAAACTATGATTCAACTAGGACCCACCCTGAATAAAGGAAGGGTTCTTGTGTTATGTGGCAATGGCCAGAGCGTTATCTCGTTGTCTCGATCACTACAAGCAACCCAAATAAAATAGTTTACGGTTACTTTTGCTAAAAGATAGTAGAATGACTGAGTAGGAAAACCACAAAGGAGAAAATTTTTTAAGAAATAATTTTATTTAAGAGGTTTGTCACGGAATCTCAAAGTTTTTTTTTTTTTTGGGCTAAGTAAACGTGTATTGATAAGCAGCAAATCCACACAAAAGTGACAAGTTACAAAAGCAAACAGATCTTGCCACTGCTAAACTCCAAAAAAAAAAAAAAAGAAAGAAAGATATACAGTAAGCTCAAAGAGAACTTAATCTATTAAGAGTGCTGAAATCAATATTCTTATAGATAAATTTCTCATGTACAAACAACCTCAATAACATCAAGGCAAAAAAAGTCGGCCAGGAGGATTGATCTGCCAATTCTGAATGATGTTTGTGACACTATGAGTTGGTTTGATCTTCATGGACAAAATCTTTCTTCTAATGGCATTAGTACTTTCAATTTTGAAAGCAACAACATCCTTGATCTCATGCCCTTCCATTCGCTTGATGCCCTATGTATGAACTGAGGCCATGGGGTGGGATTCCATATAATACCACATTTTAGTAACACATGGCTCCATATTTCGGCCGAGATTATACCAATATTAGCCAAGTAGGACTGCATTTTATCTTTGGTTCTTACTTTCTCTAGAATTGCAATCCAAAGGATAAAACTCATCCTTAGGATTGATTGTCCATTGGGCTTTTAGTTGAACAAGTCCGAGCTGAGTTCGAGTTGAACTTGAAAAGTTTGTTCTTAATTGAGCTTAAAAGATTATTCAAGTTTTACTCGTTTAGAAAACGAGCCGAGCCTAAATGAGTAAAAAATAAGTCGAGTCTGAGCCGAATCCAAGTATTTGCATATAAACGAGTCAAGCCTATCGAGTTTGAGCCGAATTTGTGGGACTTGTTTTCTAAGCGAGCCTAAAAATTTGTGTAAGTTTGAACTCGTTTAGATAACAAACCGAACTTGAACGAACCGAACTCAAGTCAAACTCAAGTAGTTCAATTTGATTAAGAGTACTAATTTATCCATACCTGATGAGGTTAGACCAAGACCAAGGAACCATAGGAGATGAGGAGGAAATAGATTTCGAAGCAAACTTGGTAGAGTAGAGATACTATCAAAAGTGGATGTAAACAGCTCATATTTTAAATTTTATCCCAGTCATATTTTTCCACTCAAAACTATTATCAATTACTTACCTCACGTATCATCCATCTGTCAGACTCAAATGTTAAGTCACATCACTCATTTTTATCACATGTTTAATCATTTATATATTTTCTCTCTAAAAATATCACATCATTCATTTCTATCATATGTTTAATCATTTAATATTTAATTAATTTATAGTTAATATAATTTTTATTTCAAATATTATTCATAATATATAATAGTATACACATGTTAAAAAAATTTAATATAGTAAGATTGATTTTTTGGGCCATCAACTTAGCCCAAAGGAGAGTTCCCACGAGTATAAGGTAGCGTTTGATAATGTTTTTTCAAGTATTTTAATTTTTAAACTTGTAAATACTTATTTAATGCATTTTTTATTTTGTACGCTGTCTTTTTAAATTTGTTTTCCAGTTTTACTTATTTTCTCTAGCAGCCTCTTCACTAGTCATCACCTAACCCTCACTGACAATTAGATTGTGCATCTGATCCTTTTGGTGGGGCTTTTCGCGAGATGGGTGACAACCACATTGATTCTGTAATATCATATTTATATATATTTTTTTTCGGGTAAGTACATTTTTATGATTTATCGCTTATAAAAATGGACAATTTGTTCAAGTGATTTAGGACTTTTTGGACATGGAGATATTATAGTAATCAATCTTTCAATTTCCCTTATGCAAATTGATGATAACAAAAATTACGCCAGGCTAAGGTTGGGCTTATTAGTTTAGACATCTCAACTCATGATCATTAGCTTGAGAGGTGCAGGTCAGAAATTATCACCGACGTGACACCGTGTACATGGTGACAGCAATAGCTCGTATCTCAAAAAAGACTACGTCACACCTAAGGAATATAACCTCTAACAATCAAATATTTTGTCATATGGGTTATAATTATCCCAAGGAAATCACGATTATTATGCAAGGATCGCATTGGTTATGAGAGGATCATAGAGATCATGCAAGACAACTATATCCTATAAATAGGAATCAAATCCTTTGCATTGTAATCCAGCAAGCGTATGTGCTATTAATCTTGTATAATTCTGTAACCTTCTTCTCCCAAGTAATAGAAAACTCCCAAGGAGTAAGAGATTAGTCAAGCTTCTAAGTTGGTGAATCTTTATAAATTCCTAGTCTGCTGGTCTTTGTTCCTAGCTAATTAACTTCAAAATCCATTGTTCAAACCCTAAGAGCCTAAAAGTTCTGACTGGATATCCCAGTAAACCTCATCAGCATCTTTAACAACCGCGCAGAACACACCATCACAAATAATTTACTTTGAGGTAGGAATAAATTTCACCTTATGAATCATTCGCTCGGTGAAAAGAATTACAAGTAATGGCCGAGTATTAGAAATGATTACAAAGATGTTGAATCGTAAATGTTGTGAGAGGCACAGTATTTTCCATCAAGACCAAAAATGGCCCTGTGAACCGAAGCACAATTGAAGAGAAGAGTGACAAATAGCTCTTTCTAGTGAAGCCGCAAACTAATATGATGTCAAAAAAAAGTTGCAAACACTTTTCATATAGCAGACAAAGGAGAATCTCAGTAAATTTGATATACTGAAATCCAAAACAGCTTGAACTCCCTTCATCCGTGTATTGATAGTGAAACTAAATCTTTACACTAAATATTTATTATAGGAATTTCAAAAGGATCAATTATGTCTGGGATAAGTATAGGAATGAAAATATGGTAACAATAAGGATATAGGGGACAGTCTATATATGAGGAACTGAAATATAGATAGGTATATATAGGAGGTCTACTGCTGCCTCCCTTTCTATTTCACCCTGCAACCTAATTGGTCAGGGAGTACCATGGCATGGCAACGAGATTCAACACAGGACCTGATGTTCTAATACGTAGAGACAAAGCTAGGAAGAAAAATCAGAAAAAGTGACACAATAAACCCCCCAAAGAGAGGACATGATATATTTATATTTGACTTGGATAAAAGTTAAACCTTTGACCTTTAGGATATGAGAATCGTGAGAAAATCAAAAATTAGCCACTAGATTAAACTCGTAGTGGTTTATGAAAGATATAACTCTTACATATTTATGGTTTTTTCTAAACAGTACACATGTTTTATCCTTTTTTATTAAACTAACAGACAGATGAAGATTATTTATTAGCATTGCAACACAATCTTTGTTTAACAACTTATGCAAACTTGTAACAACAGTACTTGCCAATATAACAAATTTTATTGGAATATGAGGCCACAATACAGCATGACATCAACTTTTTGCTGTATTTGTCTTACAGGAAAACAAACATTACATGTCTCATATTGGAAATACAAAACCTTCGAGACAAGGATAATATTATGTGTAGCAAGGTGATTGTGACAATTATAATTTGGCTAGGTGGCGAATATCGATCGGATATGTGTCGGTTGGTAAGAGAGCGTTGTATGCTCTTCTAGCAGAGATCAGATTTATTATCTCAGTAGGATGAAAACTATCCCAGAATGCGTACTCGGTTCTGTTACTGCATGGTGCTTGTCCTGGAATACATATTCCTGTTATTGTCGATACTTGGCAGCACGGAGTATTTAAGACTATAATACCTGAAATGTATAGGGGAAATTAGTCAGCTACCAATAACGATATAGTTGGAGGTCAATCTGAAAAACAAAACAGGCGAGGTAGGCAATTTGAGACATAAGGCAAGGTTGATGTGATCAAAGTGTAATTTTCCTATATAACATTACACATGTACAAATGAGCCGAGCTTTATGTTGAACATAAGCTCAAGCTCAATACATAAGACATATGAGCCGAGTCGAGTCTGAGTGTAGGAAAAATTTTAAAGAGCCGAGCTTGGACAAAATATTTGAAACTCAACATGGTCTCGAATTGATCCCGAACACTCTTTGCAAATGAACGACCCACGCTTGAATAGCTTGGTGCTCGACTCGATTCAATCCATTAGCATCCTATGCACATGAATGGAATTGAAAAACTAAAAAGAATTGGATAGAGTGTTATGACAAATGTACCAAGATCTAAAAGATTCCCAGATGTAATGCTTGTGGTGTTTATGTAGATAAACTTTGCATCATGTAGATCCTTGTTGAGGTCATCAACCAGTGGCTTAAGCCTTTTGTCGAATAGCTGGACTGCGTTGTTTATCGTATCCACGCATGCAGAACCATTTGTGGCATGTGTAGCCAACTCAGCTGGAATGCAACCTATTTGACCAAGTCCATGAATTGCTATTTTCCTTGCTCCATGCTTGTACAAAGACTGGCATCAAGAGAATAACTGTTCAAAGGGGCAATTTTCACTTCCATGTGTTAACACATTATGAATTTCGACATTAAATTAGCGGGTTATAATTGATTAAAAATAATAGAAAATTCACTGACCCATTGATGTGCTGGTTGAAACAATTATGATTGACTAGTTTTCTATACAATCTCCAAAATAACACGTCCTGCTAACTCAATTAATAATAAGACTGGATTATTGTCAAACACGAATAATAACTCGATTTTAACATGACAAATTTGTTTAACTGGTGTATTGAATGAAAAATGTCGGATTTTTCATTTATTTTGTATCTCTTGACCAGCTATTACACTAATCCTTGTAGAATTAGAGAATTTTGTATTTGGAGTTTTGCTAGCATAAAAATCAAGAAATTTAAGGGGACCTACGATGGTGGGTTGGTTGTGATAGAAAAGAGTACTATTATTTGGTTTCACACCTGCGGGTTGTACGTGTTTATTCAAGCACAACAAGGGTCATGGGGCTGACTATAAACCCTATTCACTAAATGGAAGGCATTAGTTGTCCACTTTGAAAGATCGTGATTGGCGAAGAGCCTAAAAGCACCTAAGGGGATAGGACAAATAATATAGGGACTTAAGTTAATAGGCATTAAGTAAGACAATCTAAATGGGTCTAATCAGGGTTGATTGGTATTCTACATAAGTCATGAGTGACAAGGTACAACACAATTTGTTCGCGACCCGCCAACCTCTAACTACAAACTCTTCAGATTTGATAGGTGTAGCATATATAACAGTTGAAGAATTTTATACTAACCCTCAACTTAAAAGAATATTGTTGAATGAGAATTGCAGCATACTGATCTGGAGTATATTTGCGGCTTGTGGAGTAGAATTGAGGCTGTAAGTAGTTGTTAAGGTAGTCGTTACTGCCCAATCCAACACTATATATGCATTTGCTCAGGTAATCTTTTGCAGCAGCTTTATTTCCAAGTAACAACAATTCAATGAGTGAAACAATGACTTTGTGGTTTATTAACTGCATCTTCAAGCTGATCCTACCACCCTGTAAGGAAAACAAGACGAATCATTTGTGTGTAATTCTTTTTTCAATAGGTTTTTTTATTTAATTTGCCCGTTACACTATTGAATTTCTTGATTGATTTCAAGTTGCCCCAAATTTAATTTATATTTTTCTTTTAGAAGGAAATTGTTAATGTGTTGAGGCAAAGTGAGAGAGAACACACAGTTCGGGTGCAAAATGAATCAACTTTTTGTCAAATTTGTGATGGATGTTAATCATTGGGTAGTGTGAAATAACTTTTAGCTAAAAATACAATGTGAGAAGAATGATAGTTGAGGGATAATGTAAAAAATGGTCATAATTGAAGGAGTTAAAGTGTAATTTGACCAAAAATTATTCTGCCAAGTCTTTGACCCAACTCTTACAAACCCAGTACCATACAAATTTAAAAATAATACGATGAAACTGCTTGAAGAGGTCGGTTAATTTTAGCAATGAATAACCAAAAATATAAGAAGAAAATATATAATATTTTATCTGTTTATTCATCGATATGTTATCGATGGGTCTTTGGTCCAATGATACTCTTTATTTTGTAAAAATTTTATATTGTTGAAGTTAATGGTACAAGTTTCCCTTTCCATTCCCCCTCCCCAAAAAATAAAATAAAAAATTCATCGATATGTCATTATATGAACAGTTTTGGCATTATAATATCAAATGTAACCCGAACATGACACCAGACGAGTCCATTCACACCCCTACACCCTCCCCCACCCCCCAGCGGCGACACACACAGGGATAAAACACACTTGCATACAAGTTATTACCAATGCTTTTGCGGTTTCGCTGCGAATTCCGGCTCCACCAGATGCATAGTTCACACCTTTAAGGATGTCGGAGCCAATTGTTGTTGCAAAGGGTGGAATGAAACTGTCAAAGCCTAAAAGTTCACCTATACAAAGTTAATCATTCGATCAGTATGATAATCATGGTTAGCAACTACTAAGAATAAACTTCAACAGCTTTTAAGAATTTATAAGTTCATTGAAATTGTATTCGTGTTGTTTTGGTAGGTAAATAAATTTTATTTTCAAAAATTTTATATACTACGACGGAATTCAGAATAAGTTACGAGATACATAAAACAAATCTCATCGAAGAAAAAGCTCATCACAAGCTAGTTTACAAAGTAAATAATAAATGATATTTATCTCACAACCCGAGAGACTACGTACAACAAACCAAATGGAAGATCACTAAATTAATAGTATAACATTAAAATCATTAGGACAAATTGTATCTATATGTTAATATAATTAACTTTGGATATTCATTGAAAAGTATTGAAGAAATATGCTTGAGAGTTTCTAAATCAGGTGGAGCGAAGTTGAAAAGAGACCAATAATATCAGCTTGGGTTCGACCGTTGGTGAATCTGCCAGTCGGTCCAACCGGAAAATCGATTCCATAGGGTGAGAAATTAACGTTTGCGAGAGTCACAAGGGCATTGTTATTGCCATTATCGACTAGTGAGTCTCCGAAAATGAAATAACAAGGGACTTGTGGTTCACCATGAACGAATGATCGAAAATTCAGTAGCGGGGATAACATTATAGACATCAGATACCATATCTTAACCCCACAGGCCATAGATAAGAAGAGAAAATAAGAAAAAGTTTAAGTATGAGAAGATGAGCAGTCCACTCCGGTCAATGCGGCTTTTGGAGAGTAAGATGTACGCAGTATTTTATCTTCGTGTACAGAGAGATTGTTTTCGTGAAGTTGTAGTATTTGAAGATGATGTAGGCAGTTTGTGGATCTCCAGAACTGGAAGCCAGAGAGGAATTACAATGAGATGTAATACCAGAAAAGAAGAAGTACGGCCTAAAAGCACCTGGGTATGAAGCCTAATAGCAGGAATTGGAGAAGGAAGGATTGCATTATAAAGGGTAAATTACACTTTGACCCCCTGAATTATGGAATCGACTTCACTTTGCCCCTTGAACTAGTGAATTTTTTACATTACCCCAATTGTAAACATCCGCTATTTTTTTGTACTAAAATTGCTGATGTTTCAATACAAAGTAAAAAAAATTACATAGTTCGAATGGTAAAAAAAAATAATTTTCCATTAAATATTAAAGTGATGTAAAACTAATCAAATAGCTCAATATGTAATGTAAAAAACAAGATAGGTAGGGGAAAAATATGACAAAGGGTCATAGTTTTGGAAGTCAAAGTATAATTTTCCCCATTATACCACTTTCTTTGATTTTTTTACGGATAAAAAAAAGTATATAAAAATATAGTCAAGACATGCTGAAAGACTTTCCGAGGCATACAATGGTTTCATTGCGTTGTTTCATTTGCAATGACTTTCCGTTGTTTCACTTGCTAACAAACCCTGAATTCTATGTTGGACAAGTCCTTACAAAAGACAAACCTTGTATTTGTTGAGGTCAATGTTGTAAGGCTACTTAATAAAAAGGGTACATATTCCATCTAAACAATTATACAAGTCTGTTAGAACCATTCCATCAAGGAGGTTATTTGATTTTTTTTTTTCTTTAAATGTTCTTTCTTTGTCACAATAATTTGGAGGACTTGATTTGCAGATTTTCTCTTTCGGTCAATGATACACCTTACCGGAAAAAAAAATCGTCATTATAACTTTTTCTTGAAATTTTGTCAATATTTAGGATGATGGACATAAAATAGTAGAATAATTGAATAGAAAGACCACACGGGAGAAACTCTTTAAGAAAATAAACACCCTAAGAACGGGGGTTAAAGAGGTTTGTTAGGAGAATTTCCAAGTTATTTTTACGGGATAAATACACTTTTAATTCTTAAAGCATACTTTCGTTATCATTTTGGTATATTATCTTCTAATTGCACCGAGTTAATCCTGAATATAGGACTTTTAGTTTTAAGTGTTCTTTATCCTAGATAATCCATAACAGAATTTTGGTCACGTAAGCATCGGGTGAGACAATGGCCAAGGACATTTATGTGTCCATCAACGTTGTCAAGTTGTGCCACCCTTTTTGTATGAGATGCATTAGGAACAAGTCCAATGACCAATTTGCACATGATGACGACGAGGTCACGAATAAAATGGAAGTCAAGTCTTTTGGTGATAACGATTGGAACTCAAAGATATTTTAGTGCTAAAGTTGCATGGCTCCTATATCTCCACCTGCATATGAAGTTGATATCATTGAACAGTTTATGTTGATAGTGGTGAAATATCTTTATTTAATTATTGAGAAAAGTATTTCTTGATTACAGGCGGCTATATCGAATGAGGTCTTTTATTTTTAATATTAAAATTTTACTAAAAATTAATTTATTTTTTATTTATTATATGTGTCTGATAGAGGAAGAATTAGTGTTGTCGATAGAGATGTTTTAACTTTTACTTTTATTTTTTACCAGAAGAGAGTAAATGTGAGATAAATATAACTTTGACTTTTGAATAAATTTTTTATACATTTAGTTTTTTTTTTTTAACTTTTGATTTTTGATTTTATAATATTATTGGTTGAATCATGAGCCCAAATTATTAAAATTAAAAATTTTGATTCAACTTAAATTTTTTGAGGCCTTTTTATAGGACTTAAATTTTTTGTAAAGTTAAATTTTTGACGTAGATTAATTATAATGAAAATTGGAAGTGAGTCCCCTTAAATGTATTTGTTTGGAAATAAGTCCTATAAGGAAATTTATAATAGGCTAAGTTCATGTTTAAAATTATATATAATGACTTAAATCAACTTTTTTTTATTATCTCAAAAATATCATTCCTTGAAAAGAAGTTAATTTTTTCTCTCTCATACCTATCTATATTTATATATATGTTAAGAGTTTGATTAACATTAAAATTTTTCCTCTCTTGTCTATCTATATCTATATATAAGTTTTATATATATATATATATATATAATAAATAAAAAATAGTAACATTCAAAAAACAATGAAATATTTATTTTATTGTTTAGTCAGTAAAAAACTAATAACCTCAATAACGGTCACATTCAATACATAAAGTACTTGTGTAACAATTCGAGAAATTAGACAGTCTTATGTAGTCAAGATAGACTTATGACAAAACATTGCACTACAATTCTATTAATGGTGTGTCTCATGCCATCTGAGAATATGAATCTTTATTCTGTATATAAATCAAACTCTACACACCAAATTAGTGAGAGAATATTAAGTTTATTTTTATTGGGCCATTAAAGTTATAATATTTTCTAGTAGGCCCCCTCACTTCAAAATTCCTGGTTTGAATTTCACTAGTTTAGGAATGACTTAAACAACTTAATATGCTAGCTTATTGAGTATTTCATCCCAGTCCATTAAATAACATTGCTTAAAATTGCAGAACATATTGAGTCACTGGCTAGTTCATTGTGCGGCAAACTTTGCCCTTGTGGTAGACAGTGAAATGCCATGGAGGTCTGATTTTTCTCCATGGCTGCTAATGCAGGAGGCTCCACAGGATAGTAGACCAGACATGGCATTGTATGCAATTGTTGCGATGAGTGTATTTGCAGCCTCAGTAGGATGATATCCATCGAAGTAAACGAACTCGTCGCGATTACTGCATGGAACTTGCCGAGGAATACATTGACCTTTGCCCAAAGTAGTCGATACATTGCAGCATGGACTGTCTGCTACTGTAAAATCTGAAATTGAAATCTGAATTTAATTAGTTCTAAGGTATCGAATTCAGTAACTTATCGAAAAATAGAAATGATTAGACTTAATGAGATTAAAAAAAAAATGGACCGATTCCACCAAGTCGTAACTTGATCTGATTAATTTATGATTTTTGAAAAAGCAACTCCCGAGACTCTAGTTATGTGCGGTGGTTACACAAGCAGCAAAAAAGGCCTTTTAGGATAAATTAGATTTTGATCTTCTTAATTATGCCCTTAACTATCACGATTCACAAATTATGCACTTGCCACTATTCCAGTTGGTCTCACATTACCCCCCATGAATTATTACATTCCTCACATTGCACCATTTAAGAACTTAAAAACACGTTTTTTTTGGTTTAATGGTCAGGAATGTCTGGGTCAACTTACGTGTATCTCGACTAATTTTCTCCCTGGTCCGGTCAAAGGCAGGTCATTCATGCTGGGACTAGAGTATTCATGAGAGATAAAACTCTAATAACTTGGCCCCAAGGGATTATCAAGATTCGAACTCAAAATGTCTGAGTTTGCAACTCTTCTCTGTTACCATTTAAACTATCTTTTAGGGTTAAAAAGCGCGTATTTTACTACACCTACAACATTTCTGCCCAAAACACAATGAACGTTTAATTTGGAAGCAATGTGAAACAACTTCAATTAGTTGAGGGGGGCAACGTTAAAAAGTCAACAGTTGAGGGGTAAAGTGTGATTACGTCATAATTAACAAAATATAATTTTCCCATGTAGAAAAGTTGAAGTAACATACCATTAGACGGAGAAACCTGGGATGAAGAACCAGATGCATCAATATAGGAAAATTCTGCATCAGTTAGCTTGTTCTTGAGGTCATCAACAAGCAGCACGAGTTTGTCATTGAATAGTTGGGCTGCACTGTTCATCATTTCCACACATGAAGATTCATTTGTGCCATAGGTAGTCAAGGCTTCTGGAATGCAACCCAGTTGACCAGCCCAAAAACAGCTATTTTTCTTGCTCCATACTTGTACAAAGTCTAAAAAATAAAGAAAATAGCAGTAAATACCACCTTAAAGACCCCTTTAGAACATGTAAACAAGAAATTCAAAAAAAAAAATTTAAAAAGAGAAATAATATGTATCTCAAATTTATAACCCAAATTTGCATCCCAAATAAAGGGGATCATTGGATAAGTGTGTCCCATTAATTTTTTTAAATGGGACCCATTGATTTAATGGTCCTCCTTCATTTGGGATGTAAATTTAAATTACAGATATGAGTTACATAGCATTGTTCTTTTAAAAAATGACAATTTGCACGATAGAATCAGAAAAAATTAATCCATAGGATCCAAATAGATATTTCATCGATATCTGGATTTGTTTAGATAAATACAGATGATGATAGAAATGTGTGATTTATTTTTATCTTGTGTAATTCTCATCCTATAAAAATGATTGAGATTCATATAATCAATCACATTCAATAATACATCGATGTAGCTCATAGGACATTATATCCATGGATGTAGGCAATTTTATGAATCACTTAATTCTTTGTGTTTCGTTTTTCTATCATTATTCATTTATTTTATCGTCAACCTCTCTTTCATTTTAAAATTCTACAGATCTCACTTTGCTTTAAAACCATACGTCTGACATGTTTTGAACCAAAAACGTCCAAAAGTTTTACTATAATATGCATTTCCAATATCTATATCGAGGGTATGATAAATGTAAAAACAATTACCATATATAGTCAGGGAGGCAATGCAAGAAAAGTGATAACTAAGGGAATAATATGAAACCAATAACAATATCGGGAGATGAAATTTTAGAACTTGGTAGTTGAGAGGAACTGTGAAACAGGGGACGTAGTAGAGAGGGTAAAAGTGTAATTTATCCTTAGAAAATGAGATAAAAACTCTTATACTACTGACCTTTAGCTGTTGAGAGTATTGTTTAACAAGTACTTTGGCATACTGCTCTGGTGTATATAGGCTGCTTGTTGGGTAGAACTGTGGCATAAAGTAGTTGTTGAGATAGTCGTTATTGCCCATTCCAACGGTATATAAGCAGCTGCTTAGGTACTCTTTTGCTAAAGCTTTACTCCCTAGTAAGGTAGCAATGTGCCGAATTGTGATTTTATGATTTGACAACTGCGCATTCAAGCTGATCCGAGCACCCTGTGGTAAGACAATAGAGTCAAAGTTTCTGGGGGTGTTGCAAGATCGGAGAACGGTTGCATGGTAACCCATACACATCTCATGTCGTTTGGTGAAGTGTGCATGAAGTTTTAATCGATACATGTTATTCAACAAGCATTAAAGCCTCGCTTGTTTTTTAGTATCAAAAAATTTCATCGCTGAAAGTAAATAATTCATCAACAAATATTAAAATATTTGGCGACCAATAATAATATCATCCCTGAAAATAGAGAATTAGCGACCAAAACTCAGCCTCAAAAAAATTCATCTGGTTGTCACCAAAACAACATTCGTAGTTGAAAGAGTTTTGATTGTGGTCACATTTTCTCTTTTTAGCGATGAAATAGTTTTCTTCGCTAAAAGCTAGTAAAAGTAACCATTGGCAGCAAGCCCAAGCCTTGGGCTTATTAATTGAAACACCTAGGCCCAAGGCCTGAAACACGAGCTAGCCCAATGAGGTTTTAACGGGTTAAAATTCAGCATGGTTCTTAAATGGGCCTTAACTGGGCTACTGGGTTATAGCCTATTGGGATATCCGATCCTAAACTTTCATGCCCAACCCACCAGGCTGATGGTCTGCCCACGACTCTGCCTAGAACGCAATTAGTCCGGTGGGTTGTCGGGTCATCAGGGCTGCTCATCAAGCCTTGAGTATTTTGCTGACCATTAATAAAAAGTGAAAAATATTGTACAATACGAATTCAGGGGATGTTATAAGGTCAGGGGAATACCAGTTGTTGTCCGGTTTCATCTCGAATTCCAGCTGACCCAGATCCATAATTCACACCTTTGAGAATATCCTGGCCTCTTGCAGTTGCAAAGGGAGGAATGTAATCATCAAAACCTAGAAGTTCAGCTGTGACCATTGAGTGTTCAATTTCAATCAGTATCATAGTTATGGCTATCAACTATTACCATTAAACTTCAGAAACTTCATGAAACTTGTGACTTATATATAAAACCTAAATATCAAAGTTGCAGTTGATTATTTAATGATTATTCTAGTTTTAGTAACTTTGAACTGCTCACTTCACCCTTAAACTATTGAATTATTAACATCACCTAAATGTTTGTTATCATCAAATAGTTCATCATGGGTGTAATGGGAATTTGGTAACGGTGTTTTGTGAGGAACATAATAGTTGATGACAATGATGAGGCAATACCAAGTGGAAACACCATAGTTTAAAGGGGGTAAATTATATTTTACCTCTTTGAATTATTATCTTTATTTTATTTTGCACCCTTAATTATAAAATTCTTGCATTGTATCTTAAAAAATTAATTTTATTTTATATCATTCCAATAGATAATGACTGTCAATTTTTTTACGGTAAATGCACATATGAGTGGTTTGTAATTTTGTATTGCTAATAATCAAGTGTCAATTACACATGTATATATCAAAAATCAAGAAAAATACTCATTAATACCTTTACCTTTTCTAAGCTCCAAATTTTTTTCTTCTAACCAATCTTCTTTTTCTTCCCAGCAACCATTTGATTGCAAAAGAGGTAAAATAAAGTGGTACTGTCTACTAAGCACTTGGTGGGAAACTCTTTGAGATTTTTCTCCCTCATTTGATATAATTTCAAGTTTGTCATTATGTATTAAAGTGATATAGAATGAAATCGATGTTTTAGGGTACAATGCGAGAAATTTTATAATAGAGTGTGTAAAAAGTAAAAAATAATAATTCAGGGAGCAAAGTGTAATTTACTGTTTCAATGGTCAACGTATAACTTTCCCATAGATGAAGTTAGGTGGGAGAAAGGGGGTGGATAAGAAACAGACCCAAAATGTCGGCCATATTCCGGCCGTTGGTGAATCTCCCGGTTGGACCATCGGGAAAATCAATTCCATAGGGAGGAAATTGGCTCTGGCCTGAGTCAAAAGGTCATTGTTGTTGCCATTATCCACCAATGAGTCTCCAAAAATGAAGTAACAAGGGACTTGTGGTTCACCACAAACCAAAGGTTTCAAATTCAGAAACAACAACAGTACTGTAGAAACTATACACCAAACATTACACCCAGATGCCATTGTTGAAGTCGAAGAAAAGAAAATAAGGAAAGGAAAGTAGGTGGAGAAGAGGAAGGAGAGGGAGGAAAATTTGTATGAGTAGAAAAGGAATGGTGTGAGGAAAAGGAAATCCGAAGGAGGAAATATATATAGCCAGTGGAATGGAGGGTAGACAAGTTTGAACGATAATGGACTGGGAACTGTTGAAGGGGCCACTTCTTTTTTGCACAAATCAGGAGTTTCACATGGCATAAATCTGTGTAAAAGGAAAAGTTGTGTTTCTTGGGTCCAATCAATTGGATTTAAATCCTCCGTATTATCTATTGTTTTAATTTTACTCAATGATATTGGTAGATGGAGTGTAGCTAGGCGTGTCAGAGTTTATTTTGAATTTTGACTGATGTGAATTTAAATTTAATTTTAAAAGCTGATTCAATAATTCAATAGATTTTATTTTTGTGGTTTATATCCGAGTTTATTAGCTATTCGAAATTTGATTCGATCCAAATAACTAAATTTTAACAAATTATACCTAAATTTCTTTAAATAATCAATTAATTTCTTTAATTTTTATATAAAAATATATAAATAATTCGGATCAACTCACAATCGAATTGGATATAAGCATATTTAAATCCGAATCCGTAAAATATAATATATCGGATTTGAATTCAAATTTAAATTATCGATAAAAATTATCAATCTATATCTGACTGATCGAATTTGAATTCAGATTATAATCCGATTCATTGACAGACCTAGGTGTTTGAGTGAGAGAGTATAAACTTTTAGATAAAAGGATGGTTTAGTGCTTCTATATCTTGACAATGAAGAAATGTGATGTGAGGGATGGGTAAAGAAGGACAATAACATGGAAAAAAAACTCACTCGATTCCAAATATCGACATGAGAGACCTTTTTTAAGGATTGCAACAAAAGAAAGGTGTGCTGAAAGAGTTAACCTCAGTCAAATTGCCATGGCCAATCTTTAAAGGTTTTTTTTTATCATTGGAAGCGATAAAAATTAGATTCAAATCCGTTTTAATATATATTCTCTTTATTTTTATTTTTTTTTTGTAGGTCATCCATCATTAATGAGTGCGAGATCTATCTATATATTATGAGTCTCTTTTGAATACATGATAAGTGATCTATTAATATAGAAATTGAAAGAACAAATGCATTAGAAGGATCTCACACCATAAATAAAAAACGAACCCTTCACCACATTTTGTAGCCATGTCAACACAAAAGAATTACTTGTGTTTAATGGAGTAGGTTGCACTAAAAATATCATGGAGAATTTAGTTATGCTTTGGTAATATTTTTTAAAGTATTTTTTTGGAAATTTTTTAAGGTTTGTTTTTGCACAAGGAAGGTCAATAATATTTCTATAAAAATTTTCGCCGACTCCTAGTTTCTTAATTATGATTTTTCTCACTTTGTTATTGGAGGTGTTTAAATTTTTGATTATTCATAAACTTTGATCTTATCTTACCCTACCTAACGTTACTGATTAGCTATTCGAAAAAATTGGATAGGCCAACGAAAGATCTTTTAATATTTCACAAAAAATCGAACAAAAATACGAAATACCTATAAAATTTTTGTATTCCTACCCTACCTTACCGATTATATATATATTTTTTAATTCCTAAAAATTAAAATTCAAAAATCTAGAAACTTTAATATTTTATTGATGGTTATGATTTATTGTGTTAGTTAATTGGTGCGGGTTACTTAATTAAATTGTTAAAATGATTCACAAATTAATAATTAAAAAATATGTGTTCACCCGATTTTCTACCTAACTTCCTACCCGATTGTTTTGGACCGAATCGGATAAGAATACTACACTTGATTGGATAGGGTAGACCAAAAAAAATTCTCCTATAAAATATTGAATAATAAGATAAAATACCATAATTTCTATTCATAGAATACGATGAACACCCATACTTGTGACAAGTTTTGCCAGAATGCTTCTTATTGCAGAAACTAAACCATATTTATCCAATATTTACAAAAAGTGATGTAATGCATATTAATATATAACAATAATACACTTAGTTTTACATATAAATATATATATATATATATTTAAAAAGATTGTAATAAATCCGGGAAAATAGAATAAAAAAGTAAAACAAATACTGTTCCAAAAAAAATTAAAAATAAAAAACCAAAAAAAAAACTATTTAAATTTGGTACCAAGCTTTGGCTACAGTGGTTTGAGAGGACATTATGCATTAAATGAATAAGCCATACTAGTGGAGTGATAGTGACAAAAACAATTCAATGCTTGGCTTTTTGCTATTTTGGATTCATTTGAGCAGAAAACAAGGACAATAATATTGGAGAAGGGTGAAATAATAATTGCCTTCCCTTAGAGCACGTGACTCTTCAAAATTTAATGGATTGGACTATATTGGAGTTGTTTATTATTTACTGTGTTCTTAAATATATGTTGTTTTATATAATTTTTTTTATTTTATAATATTTATCGTTTAATGAAATCAAAGTATAATTAATATTTTTTCTTTTAAATTTACCTTTAATTTTTCAATATATTAGATTTGGTGAAGGCTAAGTGTTTTTCATTCCCAATACATATTAAATAAGGGTATTTTAGTCTTGTACAATTAATTTATACGCATATTAAAGCTATTTAATAATTTCCTCAATTCTTGTACAAAAATTTTAAACGATTGATATTTAAGAACGGAGGGAGGACTATACAGTTCTTTTAAAATAATATTATCGGTCTACGACAGTTTTGAATTTATTTATTAATTATGTTATTTTTTAAAAATGATATTTTTAACAATAAAATAGAATTAATAATTCCACGTTTAATATTAAAAAAAATTAAAAAAAAGTAATTGAAGAATATGCTTTCTACTGGCGCCAGCACACTCACGTCCTTTCATGTCTGCCAAGGTCACAACCTGGTTCAGAAATTTTACTCAAGACAGAATTTAGAGACGAATTTAAGCATAAAATGAACTTAATTCAAAAATTCCCACCCCTTAAATTTCATTATGCATTCCATTTAATCTTCTTACTTTAAATCAATAAGATTATTTCATCTATACTCACCTCATTAATAACTAAATTCACTTCATTTATATTCATCCGATTAAACTATTAAATATGTATTCAAAAAAACCGAAATAAAAATAGTAATTAAAGTAAAATTTCAGTATTTCAAGGTAATTTAGAATATTTTGAAGTGTTTTGAGATATTTTAACATATTTTCACAAATGTATTCAGAATATTTTGGGGTATTTTAAGATATTAGTATATTTTGACTAATATTTTAAAAATAAATTATTAATTTTTTTATTCTGTTTTTAAAATATTTATAACATCCCTGTTTTCATTACCTAATAGCTTTGTCAAAATATAATTGATCTAATGGTATTAAATGACAAATGATGCCATTGACTCATTGCATGAAAAAGACTCACTGCGTGCACTATATACCAGCCAGTAAAAAGAAAGCGTATTTCTTAATTACGTTTTTTATCATTGAAAACAGACTTGTTAAACCTGTTTTTATTATTAAAAATAAATTTATTGGCTCAATTTTTAAAAAATATCGTATTTTAGTAAATAAATTTAAAAATATCATATTTTCATAAATTTATTTTTAAAAAATTATATTTTGATAAATAACTCCTACTTTTGTCTTACTCCTAAACAAGCTCTCTTCTCATGCACCCAATTAAATCATTGTAAGGTTAATTTGTTAAAAATGGGTATAACATATCTTTTATAGTTTAACATGCCCTCTCATGTATCGACTAAAATTTGAGCCTAACACAGAAGTTTATTACCCCTCACGGTGATGGTGATTTCTAGATATTTTAATGCAGGACTTTTGACTATGACATTAATGGTGAAGAAATTGGTACAAGGTAAAAAGATCATTTAGTCTAAGTCCAATTCAGCTTGTCCGAGTTTTAATTTGAATAGGACTCTGTATATATCAGGATAAAATGACTACATGGATAACAACAAATCAACATATAAAGATAAGGATCTATGTGATTAACTCGATCATCAATAGTGCAGCTCCCTTAATATACTCTGTTTTTGGCATATTGACATTATTGTAGGGCCTTCAGCTCCAGTGGGACAATCATATAGGGACAATGTTGATTTATATCTCTATTAATATACTCTGTTTTTAGCGGAGACATAAACACTTGAGAAAGAGAGTAAGGGGATCTCTAGATTGCTCCACAACCAGTTATTAGAGATCTCATAGGATATGATTCAAAAAAATCCAATAATATTCACTTGATTTGGCTAAGGGACGGTGAAACCATGTAATCAATGCTACACTACATGGTATCATCAACCAATTGTAAAATAACAATTAAGATAGGTGACTCCCCACTATTCCAAGATGACATGTATAAGATAAGATAGTTATTGGTAGTTATTCAAATAATAGAACCAACTAAATTTATTTGGTATTCTATCGCTGGTTGGTGACACAATGTAACATTTATGACTTAGTGTCACTGTTGCACCCAATATTTTCTCGTGGGTAAGTGTACTCGATGACCATGGCCAATTGTACCTTTATTTTATGCATTTTTCATTTGTAATTTTGTTTTTTATTTTTACATTCCTTTTATATATCTAATTTTTGTAATATTCTAAAAATAATGAGGCATGCTCGTGGAATCTTGACTTCTAGCTATTGGGTTTCTTTTGAGGTGAAAAACAAGGACAATGATTGATAGAGGTGAATATTGGTCTTTCATTGATGCATGTGACTCTTTAGAATTTGATGGATAGGACTATTATGTCATACTTCTACACAATTTCAGTGTCACGTGATAATTACTGTTTAATAATAAAATAATAAATAGATAAATAATTTTTACACTATTTAGTAACTACGCCCTGGATATAAGATAATTACTAGCTTTTTATATATAAAGAAGTAGAGTTCACCATACTTATTTATAAATTTATTATTGAACGTTGATATCCCGTGGTAATG